TTCAGGAGGACTTTGGCAAGAAACTAAAAGCTCTGTGACTACCGCTCATAGACAAGGCTCTGCAATGTGTCCCACGGACAGGGGTGTGTTAGGAAGTGGAGAAAACCCAGGAAACATGGAGGGAACATGTGGTTAGAAAAACTTACAGGTTGGAAGGGAATGTACAATATGGAATATCTCTGCTTGCTGCTGTGAGTTCCTGAGGCCACATCTCACTGATTGGAAAACTCAGGCTTTTTCTCCTCAGTGACTACAGATTCACAAGCTCTTAGCTGGAAACAGGCAAAATGATTGCGGAAGACAGCAGATGATTCACACACAACTTTCTTTATTTCTGAACATTCCTTTACACCTGTGCACACATTTATGTGAACCCTGAATGAACATCTAACAACTCAAATTCCACTTTCTGACCCCGTGTAGGACTCAGGTCCACAGAAGACACTTCCACTCTCAGGTCCGTGATTCTCCAATGTTGCTGTCCGCAGCCCAGCTGTCCTTTTCTCACTCACACTGAGAGAAGAGCTGTGTGTTCCTGGGGCCAGAAGGCAGCATGGGAAATGCACATTCAACTAGATGGGGATACAGGCCGGGCATGGATTAGGGTGCATGGAGTACACTACCCTTTGACGAAAGACATCATGGGAAACACAAAACAAGATTGTCCTGGGGTGGTTTAGTGGTTTCATCATCTCCCTAAGTGCTTCTTGTACCTCGTTCCACATCTGCTGAAGAGTACCATCCCTGGGAACATAAATCTCTTGAGGAACAGAATACAGCTCCCTGTTTAAGCTCCTGAGCCTGGCAGTGTGGCCCAGCAGCTTCTTCATGGTGGCTATGGATATGAAATTCCTTATGAAGCAGAAGGTGGTGAGCTGGGAGCAGCAGCTCAGTGAAGGCAGAAAGGCGCAGACCTGCGCATCTGTGATCCCACAGTTTTCCAAACGCAGGGTGGTCAGGGTGGCTGCGACATTATCCAGCAGAATTCGCAGGGGCTCAGGACTGAAATCAGTCAGTCTGATACGAATCAGACCCATGTATTTTAGCTGTCGGGTCTGCTCAGACTGGGGTAGCTGGTTCCAGTCATCCTGTGAAAGCTGGCAGTCCCTTAATGACAGCGTCTCCAAGGGGCACTTCAGGCACCTGTAGAAATCCAAGCAGTTAGATCTGGCAATTGGTGGTGAAAATGAGTGAGTGGTGGAAAACAATACGGTGCACCAAGTGTTACATGAGTCAGAACAACTTATGTGAGACATTACCATCCCAACCTTATGTATCTGTGTGACATTATCATGACTTGCTTATGTGTCTGAGTCTTTAATC